TATCATTCATTTTCAACTGTGGACAAACAGTAGCGTGCTGCGTTGTGCTTTATCAAACTTTACGCCGGAGCGCTCCGAAAATGACTCAAAACACAAACGTATTCACACAAATCTCTGCTTTATTTTCACACTTTGAAATCTGAATGAACAAGAAACCACCACAAATCATTAGCCGCTTGCAGGCTAACGTAAACTCTTGGAACAGGGCTATAGGCGCATCGAACTCTGTCCGCGGAATAACAACTAAAAGGATGACTGCACTCACCAAAGACGTCTCCTATAGTCGTGCCTCCAATCTTATATTTCCTCGGACTTACTTGAAATTACAGCAGTGAGAAGATGGGCGAGAGCAACTGTTGCTGCAGACGAGTTAGCTAGGCCGCGGCTCAGTGTAGCGTGCGTCAAACTTTTCCAGGAGTGTATTCCCAAAGGTGGCTTTCTCTTTTCCAAAAGGTCGGGGTTTTTACTTGTGTAACGACAATTTTAGTCCTAACCTTTTGTCGTCTCTGGGTGCAGGGGATCCAGGCCTAACGCGCTACCCGATTGGCAGATTGGATCGTAAAGCAGAAAGGAGTAGGAAGTAGAATGGATAAAAGATGTTCGATAATATTACAGAGTTGAGTAGTGAAAACTAGACCACCGGCCGTAAAGAGAGCGGTAAAAACCGTGTGACCTCCTGTCACCCATACACCCAGTGCACTGGCACCTGTGCATTTATATAGGGCTTGACTCCACCCTGCCCCCTTGTGGCCAAGCCGAATATAGGTCACCCTGTGCCCAGACAAACAGTGACCCAAACTAACCCCAGCCTAAATGAAAGAAAAATGGCTCCTACAATGAGAATAAATTTTTAGGGATTTTTTCACCATTATTTTTTATTATTATGAGAAACAAACGCATGTCTGAGTTTATTTTTTCGAATTTTTATTATTTTGCTTTTCTCATTTCAGTTATTCAGTGACCATGTGATTTTCTTTCATTACCAGAGGGGTACCAACAATTTTGTCCATATCTGTAGGTCATGTGTACATTTATTTACAGACATATAAACATAATAGGCAAATATACTGCTTTAGATAAAAAGCAAAGCTCCAGGAGACTCCGGACGAAGGGTGATCGAGCCTTTTAGCTACTGCCATCAGTACCATCTTTTAAATCACTTCTTAAAAGCTTTACAGTCTGGTCTTTTTATGAAATGTCTCTATTTTTATGTGAGTAATTTTCATTGTATTTTCTATGCTTTGTATTTTATCTTCTGGGTGTGTTACTTTGTAGTGAAGTAAACTCTGTTTTTTAATGGTGCTATGTTAAAGATTATTATTATTCCATCACACTGGACATGTGTGCTGTATCAGACTCATGTCTCTATATTTAATGGAGTCAACAACAAGCCTCTAGTGTGAAAAAACAATGAAAACAATGAATTCAGTGAGCGTGTGTGTTTGTGTGAGAGCTGTGTCAAGTGTTCTGAGAAAGAGCCTGAATGAGAACTAATGACAAATGTCTCAATGATATGACCACCAAAAGTACAACTACATGAATGACATAACAAAGCCAATAACCAAGAAATAAACCAGGACTAACTCAGGTCTAAAGAAAATCTGTACCAAACCAGGATTAAACCAGAACTAAACCCAGTGTTGAATAGAATTAAACTAGTGATACCTGAGCAGATCCAAAGAGTCCAAAGTGTCCCAGAGAAAAGAGGCTTGTTTGTGTGTTCTGTCTGGAGCGACTCAGAGCCGCTCCTCTATTGGCTGCAGTCCAGGTGGGCGGGGCTTCGTACAGGTGAAGTGACGTGACTGCTGCTGTGATTCTAGAAAAATGTAAAATAAATGGACTTTTTCGGTAGCACTTTAATAACTCCTTCTTATTAAGCATTTATTAAGCATTATTTAATACATTTGTTAATCATTAGTAAACTGTTAACTCTTAATTATTTCTCATCAGTTAATCATTTATAGATGTATATGTTAATGCTTTGTCCATGGTGAAGAAGTCATCTTACAGCCATTTGTTAAGCATTATTTAACACATTGGTTAATCATTTGTACACACTTACCTCTTCATTTTTTCATGTGATTAACATTAGTAAATACATTATTTAATGTCTTTGGTCATCATTAGTAAATCATTACTAATTCATTACTACTCATCAACTTTTAATATGTAACAGCATTGTTACACCCAAATTTATCAAATTCTAACCCACATACTAAACTAATGATTTGTTACTCATTTCTTAATGGGGTTATTCCCCAGTATTGATCAGTTATAAGCACTTGTACATGGTAGTTAGAATAGGTTAAGCAGGGGGTGTTTACACTCACCACATGACGACCACCCTTCATGGACGCAATATGTTCTTCTAAAGAGAGACTTGTCTATGCTCTAAAAACATTTACAAATGATTTGTTAAGCCTTACTCATGATTAATTGATCAGTTATAACTGGTTAATTAAGTATTTTGTGGGAGCTATTCTAAAGTGAAGCTTGTCTATGTTCTACTAAACATTTACAAATTACTTATTAAGATTTGTATGAATATGTAAAAAAAAATGGACATGTCATGAAACCACACCATAGAGGGAAAGAAAATAACAAATATTTAACTGGTTGTGTTGAACACTCTTTTCAACAGAGAAGAATAGAATATGCTTGAGTTAATCATGAGTGAGCCTTACACTGCAAAAAGTGCCTGACTAGAAAAAGAAAAAAATGACAAAAAATTAGACAAATGTTCGTTATAACAACAAAAAAAATCTGCCTATGGGGTAAGAAAGTTTTTCTTGCCTAGTTTTAACAACATTAGTGCAAAAAAAAAGTCAGAATTCTTATATTTACTTGCACTTGCTTAAATTAAGCAAAATATTCTCAGTAATATGGTCAAAATGAAGAAAATAATTCTTATTAAAAAACATTCTAGACAAATGTGCTTAAATGTAGCTCAAAATAAGTACAATTTTTCTCAATTTAGCCTAGATTTTTAAGCAAAAGTTGCTCATATACTGTAAAATCTAAGCAATATTTTCTCATTATATACAAATTTCAGGTCAGTGTTGCTAGATTTAGCAAAATTTACTTATATGCATTTCCTTAATTTAGTCATAAATTAGAAAAATAAATAAATAATGTAAATCTTAAATTATGCCCATTCAAAGCTGTAATTTTAAAACAAGACAACCCCAAAAAGTCTTTCCTAATTATTTATCCATGAAAACATGGTAATCAAATACAGATGGCTCACAATAGCTACAGTAGAGCAGATTTAAGTAAACATAACTAAAATAAAAAGTAAAACTCTAATTAAATTACAAAGTAGTAATTACAAGGAAACCAAATGTAAGAGCCTTCTTGTAATGAAAAACCTCTGGTAGCACAACACAAGTGTTTTGGAAAATTTTGTTGTACATTTTAAGTAATAAAAATAATGAACTAAAATAGTTGCACATTCATCACTCAGTGATGGACTTCCACTCTGTTATGGCTTTTTTGTATTTTGATGTTGCATCTTTTGTCATGGATGGAATCTTGATGACAAAGTTTGTAGGACTGAGAGCAGAGTGGAAATACACTTTGGTTAAGTGAGATGAAAGGCGTAGTAAAGGCCATCAGGTACACTAGTCCTTCATTCAGCTTGTCACGTGCAAAGGTGGTCACAGTGTGTTGCCAATTGCGATCATGCAGTTGTCCTTGCTCAAGAGCAGCACTGGGCACGATAGTGGCCGCTTTTGAAGATAGCCTTCAGGGTCCTCAGATGTCTGTGATACAAAACATGATAAGGTAAGTTCCACTGTTATAAAACACTGAAACATCTACTTCGAAAGAATAACATACACAAAGCTATTCTCACCTTAAAGTGCGTGAAAAAAACTTCACCAGGAGCCTTATTTTTTGATGGTGGTGCATTGGATGGAAAAGGGGGGCAGAGCTGAACACTGCTAAGGCATGATCAGACAAAAGACAAAACAAGTTACCATCTGTTACATTGGTGCATTAGTTTAATAATTGTGTTATCTCACCACTATGAGGTCTTTGGAGGCTTCATGGCTTTCTTCATTACCCCATAGAACTTGACTTTTAAAAAAAAGTTTTCCCATCTGTCCCTAGTCTCAGCAGTGTAGTTGGAGTTTTTTGGTTGAATAATTCTCTCTACATCTCATCTAGTACCTGGAAAAAATGCAAACTGCTTAAAGCACAGTAAAAGTAGAGAACTAGTTTAAGGAATTGTACTTGCATGGTCGAATTCTTTGAAACAAGGGTAACATCAAAAAATGTTGATGGCCTGTCATCGTTTTTTAGAACATCTGATGTGATGAAAGCATCGTCTTGAGTCAAATTCCAGGTTTGAGCAAGTGCTGACAGCAGCTTTTTTGCCTTTTTAGCCTTGTACATCTCTTGGAGGGTATTTATAGTGTCTGACTTGGCTCTTCTGTCCAGGACGTCAGTGTGAGCAAACCCCCTAAGCGAGGACATAAAAATGTTGTAATGTTTTTCTTTGAATGAATATAAAGTAAAACTTCATACTGTATCCAGCATCATCTTCAACTGCTGTCTGGAGGGGGCTCTGGATGCTGGCAGCAGCAGGGGACTTCTCCAGATGATGGTGGATGCTTGGCTTGATCCAGTTAAGATTTCATCAAAGTCTGTTGAGCAAGACTTCATAGTTCATGCGACGTTTCTTGAAANTGATCCAGTTAAGATTTCATCAAAGTCTGTTGAGGCAAGACTCTTCATAGTTCATGCGACGTTTTGAAAGGTGCACTGGCTTTTTTTGGGCTTTTGATGTTTGAGAGCCTCTTTATGAGCTTCTTGGGTGACATGCCCTGCAAGATAGAGAAAATGGCAAAATGCATAAAAGGGAATCAGAAAAAATATTCTTATATAAAACAATACTGTGCTAGAAAAGTACTGACCCATTCACTCTCAGGTGTTTTTTTCCCCCTTTAACATTGGATAATACTCGACTAATCTTTTCAACCAGTGTCAAACCTCATGTTTGGAAGGGTACCTTGAGTCTTCAAGGGCTCTTGCAATGGACACCATGTTTGTCATGGTGTTTCTAATCAGTCTGCAGAAGAGTTCCTTGGACAAGTCAGAAGTGGTGGAGCCAAGGCGTTTTTGTTCAAAGTAGGATGAACGGGCTTGTTCAAGTTCACTATCTGTGTAGACAGTATACTTTGGGCTGGACATGGCTAGATACTTTAAGGGATTGGGTCTGTCTTCTGGAGAGCGGCTATTTGCAATGGCAGATTGTTTTGATGGCTCCACATCTTTGGCAACACCTTCAACCTAAACAAATAAAAAGTATTCTGTAATTAAATCTTTATTGCTTTAAGTTGCATGGAAAGTTTTGATTCATCTATATCAACTATTTGAATCATAAGTAATGTATATACTCACCTTTTCATCACTGTTCACAAGAAACCACAGTGCCCTGTGCCTGAGAACATTTTCTGGACCTGGCAGCAAATCTTTAATGTCATCCCTTGAGCGTGACCATAGTAATTCTTCCCCAACATTGGCAGCTAAAACACACTGCACAAAAAGCAGTTAATGAAAATTATACTACATGCATTCATTTTCATACGTTCATACTTTAATGGCTACATGCTTAAGCTACTCTAGCTAACCATATTAACTTAGTTAGGTCCTTAACAAATAGCCAGTATTATGAGCTAAGTGTACTATACAGCACATTAAAAGTCTGATATTGTTGCAAAACATACCTCTTAAAGTGTCTACTGTAATTTCGTCAAGTGTATCCATTGCAGTTATTGCGTGTTAATACTGGGTTCTCTCAAAAAAATCTATCTTTTCCTGCTCCTGTTGAAACGAGCCTCCAGAAGAGCCGTTACGACATCACAGGAACACGCCGCGCGCGGTCTTGGATTTGAATGGCAAAGCGCCGCTCTCTGGACTAGTCCATTATGTGTGAGAGGGGTTTGGGTGTAGTTTAGCATTTTAGCTCTATCAAAATCTATTTGACTGTTCTAATGTAAATTGAATGTATAATAAATTAAATGTTCAGGTAGAACCGCTTTAATTGTACAATTTATTGCATAAGTGGTTCAACCTGTGGGTTTTTTCGGAAGGTTCCAAGCATGTCCTAAAAAGAAGCACGAGAGATGGAGAATCTGAGAGAACAGGCCACTTTATTTTGTCATTTTCCATTGAGAGGATTCAAGTTGATTACCAAGTACAACTGTCACCCCGGAACAATGCCTCAATGACCAACTCAAAATCAGGGGTAGCTTTATACTACATCTTGACAAAACATTAACTTGTTGATTTAGCATATACAGCAAGAAAATGAACAATACTGCTGACCCAGTACACCTTATCATGGGTGGAAACATGCCACGGGGACCACATATGTCAGTTTTTCTACTTCGTGGCACTCAAAGTCCAGAAAAACATATTCTTTATGGCAAGAAAAACATGTTATGTAGACCTATGGATAATCACACGTGTTTCCACCCTGTTGTCATTCTAAAGTCCATAATGTTAGGTGAATTTAGCATGATCAACACATAATTTCCCACAAACCCACCGTGAAAGTACAGCGGCATTATGAGTAAAATAGAGGTACTGTAAAAAAGTTTGTGCAGCATGTCGTGAGAGACTGTAGTGTTACCGAGAGAAAATATGATTTCGCGTTGCGTTATTTGCTTTGTATTTGTCGGTCTAACCCTCAAATCTTTACTTAGTCGCATCAACTCTGCCCACAGCCGAAGTCCGGACTTCCGGGTGGTATGTGGTATTGATGGCTGTGAAAAAAAAAATCGAGTGTACAACTCACTCTGGTACCATATCCGGAGATGTCAGTCGACGTATCTTCGCTGTGGCCAACACAGGGCGGCTCCACTCCCGGGAAGAAATTCTGCGCCAGGGAATCACAATACTTGGGAATACAGACCCGGTCTGGAGCACGGGGATGCGGAGGAGCG